CCCAGAGGACCGGAGTGCGCGGGGTGGATTATACGGGAAGAGGTGCTCCTGAAGATAGTTTGGACCCAAACCATTTAGAGATTTAAAGGTGATGACCAACACCTTGTACTGAGCCCGGAAACTGATAAGCAGCCAGTGGAGGGACTTTAAGACAGGTGTTATATGGTCTCTCCTTGATGTACCCGAGACCAACCTGGTTGCCATGTTCTGTACCAGTTGAAGTTTCCGGACTAAGCATGAGGGTAGCCCCATGTACAACGCATTACAGAAATCAAGACGAGAGGTTACCAGCGCATGCACCACAGTTTCAAGGTCCCTTACTTCCAGGAAAGGGTGCAGCTGTCATATCAGCAGAAGCTGATAACAGGCACTCCCGACCATCGCATTTACCTGATTAGTCACCTGAAGCGACGAATCCAGAAGCACCCCCATACTGTGAACACAGTCCTTTGCGAAAAGTGTGACCCTGTCCAGGACTGGAGGTTGTATCCCAATGCCTAGTTTCAGGGCTGCTATTGTAAGTACCTCCGTTTTATCTCACTTCAGTCTCAATCTGTTTTTCCCCATCCAGCCCATTATTGCCTTGAGACAGTCATTGAGGGGAGAGACACCATAGCTGATGACCGGGACATGGAGAAATATATCTGAGTGTCATCAGCATACTGATAACACCCAACCCCATGACTCCGAATAATCTCTCCCAGCGGTTTCATATAGATGTTGAACAGCATTGGAGACAGGATGGCGCCTTCAGGGACGCCACAATTAAGCTCTTTCCTGGTGGAGCAAGTGTCCCCGAGCATCACCCTCTGGCATCTGCCTGAGAGGAAGGAATGGAACCACTGCAATGCAGTGCCTCCAATTCCTATCCTAAGTGTATTTATATTTGTTTTCAGCCCCTGAGGAAGGCCTAGTGTGGTCGAAATGTGTTGGGCTTTTTAACCACTAATAAACAGTTGAGCATCTTTTAACACGTGGAGCTTGTCTCCTCTTTGTTTGTTGCTTGGCTACATGCTTTCAGTTCCTTACCTATACTACTCATTTTAGCAACCTATGGAAGGATGGAAGGCTGAGTCAACCTTGGAGCCTCTGGGATCGAACTCACAACCTTGTGCCTGCAGTACAGGCATTTAACCATTGCGAAACCAGGGCTCCCTTGGCATTACTTCTTTAACAGAAAATTTGATACCAGAGGCAGAAATAGCATGGATAGAATAGGGATAGGTTCCTATGCCACAAAAAAAGAAGAGCAGTGCAACAAGTTTCAGCAAAGTTTTTATTCAAAACTAACACTATGCATGTGTGAAATGAAACAACAAGGTCAGGTAAACAGAAGCATCTTGAACCTTCTAGGGACCACTTGAAAGTTTCTTCCAAAATGTATCCAAGAATAATTTTATTTTCACCAGTCCCTGTTTTAATAATGGTTTCCATTTTAGTGGTCATACTTATATAGATCCCTGCTTCTTCTTTTTTTTTAACATGGGAGAGGGATGAGATAGGCTTATTTGCTTTCCCCCTTTTCTTTGTTTTACTTCATTACACATGATGAAGAAGGAATTTTGGAAGCAGTTGCTGTTTGCCTTGCAAAAGCTTGTCACTCCAGTCCTCTTTCAACATCCCCTCAGTGTTGATACTGCTAAAAAAAACCTTCCAGATAAACAGAGGAAAAGGAGGAAAAGGTGCAGACTGGGCAGGTATACTAGTATAGCAAAGAACCTAACTGCATCAAAACTGAGGGGATGTTTTTCTCTGAAGATGCTAGCCACAGATGCTGGCGAAACGTCAGAAAGAAACTCTTTCAGAACATGGCCACACAGCCCGAAAAAACCCACAAAAAAAAACTATGCATCAAAACTGTTAACTATCTGGGCAATTGCAATGTGTGAATCTTCCCCTGAGAGTCTGAGACCTTCTTTCTTTGTTGTTGATGTGTGCCTTCAAGTCATTTCCAACTTAGGGCAACCCTAAGGCAAACCTATCAGGGTGTTTTCTTGGCAAGTTTGTTAAGAGGGGGTTTGCCATGGCCTTCCTCTGAGGCTGAGAGTATGCGACTTGCCCAAGGTCAGCAAGTGGGTTTCATGGCCGAGCTGGGAATTGAACCCTAGTCTCCAGAATCGTAGTCCAACCCTCAAACCACTATGCCATGCTGGCTCTCTCATCCTTATTCCCAAAACAAGCTGAACAGAAACAGAAGAACCCAAGGGTGGGAACTCTAATTTGTCAGACTCAAATGTCCATCAGCCCCAGCCAGCATGGCTAATGGTCAGTGATGCTGGGCAATGAGTCAACAGTACCAGGTCATAACTTTCCTTCCTCAGTCCTAAACCTTTACACAGTACTACTCTACAGGCTTCATGTTCACCCATCCCCATGTCCAGATAGCAAGTTCTAGGTCAGTAGACTGGGGATCTTATGACTCTCCAGATGTTGTTGAACTCTAGTTCCCATCAGCCTTTACCAACCAGGCCAATAGTGACACATGATGTAGCATTTTGCTCAACATCTCCATCCCTGCTGCAGGCTGTGCATCCCAAAGTGGTTAGGAAATTCCCTTCAGCTTTCATATTGGACTTTCTTTGAATACAGAGGAACTAAGAGCACATCTCATAGATTCAAGTGAGATCCAACACTGGAAAGAAAAGCTAATTTCTGTTGGGCTTTCCTGAGATGTGGAGCTCAGGTTGGTCCTTGACCTGTGAGAAATCTTCCCTTCTGCCCCTCTCCAATGTTTTTGTGTGTCGTAAATCTGGCTCATAATTGGAGTTTCCAACAATTTTTTCATTCCAGGACCTTTGATCTCACCCTGGGAACGTGACAGGCTATTTTAAGGTTATTCTGAGAGCTTCCTTTCCCCTCATTCCTGCTATAAACAGCTGGTTAAAATCACCATCATAGATGCACACAAAACTTTCAGTATAAAAGTTGCTTGGGGAGATCAGTAAGAGCTTTGCATAGACTGGCAGGTCAAAGACAAAATACAGGGCTACATATTATTTCATGAGCCAAGAGAGAAGAGGATATTGGTGGAACTCCCTCCTAGGAAAAGCTGGAACTTTTCCTAGAAGACTAGCTGCTTTTGGGTGTCCAGTTCTGGGCACCACAATTCAAAAAGGATGTGGAGAAACTGGAGTGTGTCCAAAGGAGGGCAACTAAAATGGTGAAGGGTCTGGAAACCAAGCCCTATGAGGAACGACTTAGGGAGCTGGGGATGTTTAGCCTGGAGAAGAGAAGACTGAGAGGTGATATGATAGCCGTGTTTAAATATTTGAAGGGATGTCATATCAAGGAGGGAACAAGCTTGTTTTCTGCTGCTCCAGAGACTAGGACCCGGAACAATGGATGCAAGCTGCAAGAAAAGAGATTCCACCTCAACATTAGGAGGAACTTCCTGACAGTAAGGGCGGTTCGAGAGTGAAACACACTCCTTCGGAGAGTAGTGGAGTCTCCTTCTTTGGAGGTCTTTAAGCAGAGGCTGGATGGCCAACTGTGGGGGATGCTTTGATTGGGAGTTCCTGCATGGCAGGGGGTTAGACTGGATGGCCCTTGTGGTTTCTTCCAACTCCATGGTTCTATGATTCTATGATTCTAAAAATGTAGGGCACAGACCCATAGCACCGACTTGACTATAATTTGCACAAAATCATTTATCTATGCACATTTAAAATTACTAGAATTAATTTTAATTTCACAAACATTGTTAAAAGAATGCTTATCCTACGCTTCCTAGGGAGTTCAAAAGCCTAGGAGTGAATGTTGAAAGTCCTCAGTAGTAATCTGAAGGTCTGGACAGACTTATCTGGGGACAGATAGCCTTGACCTAAGCATTTCCCACACTTCCCACATATATCTCACAAACATTAAAACTTCAGCATTCCCTCCT